TTCCTCGGGAAAAGAAAAAGGGAGAGGGTGGGTGGTGGTGGTGCTTTGGTAACCTCTTTTCATGTCAATTTGTAATCAGAAGGTCCCAGGAAAGCCAGTCGCGGCTTTGAAGTACATCAACTGCTGCTCCCTTTCATGGGATAATTCCAGGTGGAAGGCCCACAAGCCCCTGACACAAGGAGAAAGGGGATTCTGTTTCCTAAGAAGAAATGGGTGAAATGCTGCAGCTACAACATGACCAAAGGCCCCTTTGTCACAATGATGCAGTGCAAAAAAACCCACAAACCAGACAGACAGCACCCGCTTATGAATTATGAACGTACAGAGTCACCACATCCCACGTTCCCTGCTCAAAGCCCAGCGTCGGCACTTTAGCCGGGAAGGACACAGGTGCTGCCAAGGTCAGAAGTCCCACAGCCAGAGAGACAACACAGGTACTTACAAGAGGCAGGGAAATGCATTGGTGGGAAGCCTGCAGAAGCCACCTGGCTGCAATGCCGCTCTCTGCACCTAGCCGGGAACTTCTACAGAAAGCACCATGTCTAGAGCGAAGGTGGCCTGCACAAGAAACCTCCAACTGGCCAACCAAGTTGGCCATGTGGCACACTGTAAAAGCTGGGGCACCCCTCCGTGTCCCTTTGAGGTGCCTCAAGGGAAAATTCCTTCTAGCCCTCAGATACAGTGAGCATCTTCCAAGCCTTTGCAGGTATGCACCTTCTTTGCTCTTCTCCTTCCCTCCGGCACTGCCTAACTGGGCATTCTATCCAGGCCCCAGCGCAGATGTTGGGAAAGACCTGTCTGTGGTTCCGAACCTGGAAAGCCGCTGCCACTCAAAAAGGAGGACAGCATCCTATCCCTAGGTGGAGCAGAGGCCCACCTTGACCGAAGACAGCTTCATAAATCCAAGGGCTAGCTAGACCATTTCTAATCTCAATCCACTATGGCCACGCCTTCACAAGGTAAAGGCAATATGCTAACTATGCTAACAGGGTAAAGACTAACTATGTTCCTTTAAGAGTAATTCTAGAAGGCCATTCATGTTCCTCCATAGCGGCAAAAACAGTGGCAGCCACTTAACAGACTGACACGTTGGTTACAAATGCCAATGAAAGCATCACCACATTTGAGGAGCTACCGGAATCCTTTGCTGCTTATTTCAAAACAGATATCCTGAGCAAAGTGATGGTACAAGTTATGACTAGGAAAAAAGGCACAGGAGGTGATTGGAAAAATCAGAGACTACTGATGCCCTGTTCTGCATTTTATCAGAACTAGAATGCCCTTGCTGAAGGAGAAATCATTCCGAGAAATGAACACTTTACGAAACTACTATATTTTTGAACTTAAGTGAGATTCCTGCGAGAAAACCACTGACTAAAATACAATTCAGCCATGCAATATGTTTTGTTACACAGTTGTTTTGTAAATATCATTTGCACTATTCCCTCTTGATTGTCGTTAACCTGTTATATATTGTGGTATGCACGTTAAAAATTAATAAAAAGTTAAAATTTTTTAAAAAAGAACTAGAATGCCTGGAAGACAATTGGAAGACACGACAAAGGAAGGAATGTTATAAAACCAGCTGATGAAGGAGGGGAAATGCCGATGGTGAGACTTGCCTGTCTGAGCCAGCGTTGTGTAGTGAGGTTGAACCAGGACCAGGAAGACCCAAGTTCAAATCCCAGGCCAGCTCACGGGCCCCGTCAGCCTCATCCACCTCGCAGTATTATTATGAAGATACAATGCAGGAGGACAGAATTAGACATGCCACCTTGAGTTCCTTTGGGAAAAGGTGGAATTAAAAAGTCACGGATAATAGATCCATGCGCTCACCTATTTCTCTCCGATTTCCTCAGAGCCGGAGTGTTCTAGAGCACAAACGTCCCCAGCATTCTAAAGTCTAGCAATTGTGACGTGAACCTGCCACCTTTCCTCATACTGCAAGGAGAAGAGTTCTAGGCTATCTGTTACCATTCAGAGAGAAGAGAAAACGGCATTCTAAAAAGGTGAGGGTCTCATCCAGACTGGAAACTCTCAAATAATCATCATGGGTCCCTCCCCTTAAGAGCTCTAAGGATTCTTCGATCCAAAGAACGCTAACGGCTGACACATTTTGGGGGGGAAATGGCAAATGAACCCAGTGTGTAGTCTAAAACACGTCTAAACGGAGAGCCGGTGTGGTGTAGTGGTTAAGAGCGTCAGACTAGTGTCTGGAAGACCCAACTTCGAATGCCCACTCTGCCTTGGAAGCTCACTGGGTGATCTTGGGCCAGCCACGCCCTCTCAGCCTGACCAACCCTCACAAGGGCTGTGGTGAGGATAAAATGGAGGAGGGGGGAATTATTTACTTATTTACATTTTTGAATCACCTAATCCCCACAGTTGTGGGGGCTCTAGGCAACGTACAAATTTAAAAAGCAATAAAACCGTAGAATCATTATCGAAATATATACTTCAGGGATTAAAAACCAAGAGGCGAAATTTTGTGATTCCCTCCCACTATCGGGACTGTGTTACCTCATGCGTACGGGCGGGAGGAATTAGAGGTGTCAAATCCTTCAGGGGACAGAGATCCAGGAAGGGTGCCAGCCACAGTGTGAGCCATCGCTGTCCTCAACGAAACGCCTGGTGGAAAAGCCCGGCCTGGCAGGCCCTGCGGAATGGCATAAAGTCCCACAGGGCCCTGATGTTATTTGGCAGAGACCCGGAGATCATTGAACTGACTGCTAAGTTTCTTCATGGTTTTATAAAACGGAAGAATGATCCTGATCATATTAATGATTCTTAAATTATAATTTTTTAAAAAACCCACAAAACCCCCCTTAAGTTTAAAAGTTTAGAATTCAATTTATTTTACGATTCAGCTATCTTCTGTATGGTCAAATCTAGCTTGTGACAACTTGAGGTATGTTATAGGCCTGACATATCCTTGGAACGGTTTACCACAATTATCTATTTTTATAATTTCTACTGGATTGTGTTAATACTGGGAATCGCTTTTTTTCTAATATTGTATGCCAATAAAAGGTATTTGACTTTGACTTTATTTGGCAGAGAGTTCCACCAGGTCGGGGCCTGGGCTGAGAAGGCCCTGCTTGAGGACCGCCGGATCTCTCAGGGGCTGAGGACCCCCAGCAGGGTGTTCTGTGAAGAGCAGAGCGCTCTCCTGGGGGTATAACCGGAGGAGGCGGTCCTGTAGATATGTTGGTCCCAGACCCGTCAAGGCCTTAAATGTCAAAGCCAAAACTCTGAAATGTCGTAAGCTGCTTTGGGTCCCCAGTGGGGAGAAAGACATGATATAAAAACATTTTACAAAACATGTCCCGTTGTCCTCTGCCGTACACAGGGTTTCTCTGCAGACCACTCAGTGCAGAAAGGAGTTCTTCAAGGCCAGACACTTGAAAGCTGTTGATCCAGCATCTCAATACGGGAGGGGCAACAGACCAACTTTGTTACAATATGCATTTCCCACCAGGCGATAACATTCCCCATGCAACAAGGAGAGATGATCCTTTGCCACAGGTAATAGTTATTAAGGAGCAGTTTTTAATTCCCAGTCCAGTTAGGCAGCACCTAGAAACCCAGGCACAACTACAGGTCCAAGGAAAGCTAATTGGCCGTTTGTGAGTGGGTCGTCAGTTATTCGCAAAAAGCAGACTGTTAGACCTCTCCTGCCTCCAATAGGTATGAGAGCAATAGATCCACTTCCAAAACAGAATGGTGTCCTGTTACCAGAGTGTCCATCAGGGAGGTTGAATAGAGAACCTGCAATTGGTTAATTAAGTCAACGCTTTAATTGAATCATGACCCCATTACTTTTGAAAATATAAGGCTGAGACGTCCCTTGGAGAGGGGCAGGGGCCGTGGCCCCAAGAGGGAGCAACAGAAAGGGGAAAGGAAGACAAGAAAAGACCCCCGGAGGAAATACAAAAAGGATGACAGCTGCATCGCTATTCCCTCCCAAGAAGAAGCTCCAAGCGGGGGGTCGGGGGTCAGCATCTACTGCTCAGAAGTTCAGCGCTGTATTATTACTGTCAATTTAAAAAAACCAAAAAGGGAAAATCTGAGGACAGACTGCTGGAGCAACATGGACGTTCTCGAGAGGAAGGGGACATCAGTGACACCCAGTAAAGGGTACGGAGGCGGGGCAACTTGGGGGAGGGGCTCCCAAGCCCAGCACCAAGGGCTGAAAGTGCCCCTCACCTCTTGGCCTGGGGGAAGCCCCCCTCCAGGCAGCCCAAGCAAACATCCTGCCGTCCTCCAGATCAGCGTTCCCTCTAAGCTGAGTCAGTGTGGGCTAGTTCACAGTTGTTTAGCCTCTGGCTCACAGATTTTTGCCTTAGCTCAGAAAAGATGGCTCCAGAGCAGACTAATTTATGTGGTAGCCAAATCGCTTACTCACAACTTTACTTCCAGTTAGGGCTGCCAAGTGGGGGCGGGGGGCGGGTAAACCCCCGCTTTGGAGACCCGATTTCCACCGCCACGGAATCGGGCCCTGGGGGGAACCCCACCCCCGCGTGCGCGTCACCAGGAAGTGACCTGGGCACGCCGGGCACGCTGGGGGCGTGGTTTTCCCTTGTATGGCCGTGGCCCCGCTCCCAGCGTGCCTGGCGTCCTCCCGTCACTTCTGGGTGACGTGCGTGCGGCGTGCGCACGCGCACAAGACGCCGTCCAGGAGCCCCCCCCCGTTCCCGGCGAAGATACACTTGGCAACCCTACTTCCAGTAGCTCACAAAGTAGAATCTTTGCTCCCAGGACTCCATAGCTTAGAGGGAGCATTGCTCAAGACTCATTTCAGATGCGAGTCATGCCTGAGCGGTAATGAGATGCAGGAATGTGTCTTCTTCCCCCCCCCTTGGCTTCCTTCTTTTTGCCCTGCGGGCTTTTTCCACTTGGCCTCCCCTCCCTACTTTTGCAGGAAATAAAACAAAAGCAGCATTACCAAGGACATTGTCTCCCCCAGCTGCCCCTTAGGAATAGGAACACAGGCCCCTCACCCTGTGGCTGGCTTCTGCTATCTGCACTTCAGGCCTCTGTGCTGCCGATGGACGTTGTCTCCAAGAGCTGGATCCTGAGCGGGTGCTGAAGGGACGCATTCCCCAGGAGCCATGGGAGCAGCTTCCCTGAAAGAAACACACAATATTGACTCGCAAACGCTGCAGGGGTGGGATTCACCTGAAATGCTTGGTGGAGGTACACAGACACGGAGCCCGGAAGCAGCCGCCGTTGCCAAGAGCAGAGCGACAAGATCCATTTTCACCCAAATATATATATATTTTAAGTGTGCAAAAAAGTTCATTATCCTTGTAACAGACGTTGCAGCTTCTGTCACTATGACTGGGGGAGTGAAGGAGCAGCAAAAGCCGGTAACAGGGGAGCAAGGACTTATTTTGGAACTACCCCCTTTGCCGTGCGGAGGGGGGAGGCAATAAAGCCGACCGGCTGGGAGGTGACACCCTTCACTTCTTTTTGGGTTGGAAGTTTGGAGAAGAGAGGACGGGAAGCATTTTAAAGCTTAAAACCTCCTGAAGGTTTGATACTGTTTCCCTCAAATCCGTTAACTAAGATAGATTCAGGTGGGTAGCCGTGTTGAATAAAACTCTGTTGGTCTTAAAAGTGCCACTGGACTCAAACTTCCTTCCATTAACTAAGAGCCAGTGTGGAGCAGTGGTCAGAGCGTTGGATGAGGATTCTGGACCACCCAGGCTGAAGCCACTGCTCAGACAGCGAAGCTCGCTGGGTGACCTTGGGCCAGTCACAGATTCTCATAAGTCTAAGTGCCCTCACCAGGTTGTTGTTGTTTGTGAAGACAAAATGTAGGAGGAGAAAACACTGTTGTAAGCAGGGGTCATTTCCTGCGGGAGAGCACAGGAGCGGAGCTCCGGAAGTGAGGCCAGGGGGCGAGCACATGCAACAAGCCCTGCCCCCTGCTCCCAACAGCCCTCAGTCGGGCCACGAGGAGCAAGAAGCAGCCAGGTAAGTTGCAGAGGCCCCCCCCCCCCGGCCCACCTTCAGGTACAAGCTCTCCCTCCTCTGCGAGGGCAGACCTGCACGTTCCCCCCCCCCCAATAGCTAGCAATCCAAAACAGTCCAGAGGAGCCTGAGCGGTGGGTGTTGCCTTCTGACACACTTCCGGTGATGCCAGGGGGTGTGGCATATGCAAATAAGTTATGCTAATGAGTTATGCTAATGAGCTCCTGCACCTCTTTTTCAACAAAATGACCCCTGGTTGTAAGCCACTGTTGGTCCCCAACTGGGGGGGAAATGGAGGAAAAAATACCTAAATTCAACCAAAATGGAATCCCAGACATTAATCAGGTGTAATGGTTTGGCAATTTTCTGATATCTATGAAGCTATGCTACGTTTCTAATTGGGCACCTCCTATCCGTCCTTCTCCTCATCCAGGATCATCGCTGCTCTCATTTCTAAAGACAATTAAAATAAACCCCGGCAAATCGCATTTAAGTTCCCAGATGAGAAAGAATCAAAACACACAGAGAAAACGGGAAGCAACCACATGGCTACTGCTTCTGAAACCCCTAACTAAAAAACAATTCCATCGATCTTCTGCCACCACAAGAGTCAATCGTCCAATCTAGTGTGGGTGGTGCCCTGTGTCACGCTTGTAAACAGGAACCTGCCTGGTCACCTATTGTGAGAAAGAGTCACCTCCAGGTGACCAGGCAAGAAAACGTAACAGATGGATGGTTCTTCCCCTTTTCAAGTCATTGATGAGGAATACCAGGTATGCTGCGTCAACAGCTTGTGGGCTTATTTCTCAGGCTGCCATACGGGGGCGACAAAAAGGTGATTGTGGATACCGTTTGCTTGATTAATATATTAAAAACATTCATGACCTGCTTTTCTTCCTTGCAGAGCTCCAGGAGGCTTACAACTAGTGTTCCCCCTAAGCTGAGTTAGGGTGAGCTAGCTCAGTTTTTTAGCCCCCGGCTCACAGATTTTTGCCTTCGCTCAGGAAGGAGGGCTCCAGAGCAGACTAATTTATGCAGGAGCCAAATGGCTCGCTTGCAACTTTAATGCCAGCAGCTCACAAAGTAGAATCTTTGCTCACAGGACTCCACAGCTTAGAGGGGGCACTGCTTACAACACAGATAAAATACACCAAACAAAATACATAAAAACAAAAAATTCAAAATCACAATTCAGGACTGCTAGTAAGCTTAACCAAACCATCTTCAACTGCCTCCTAAGGACTGAAAGGGAGGGGACCAGGCACATGTTCCTGGGCAGCCACTGAAAAGGATCTCGCTTGTGTACCTATCAAACGTGATGTTTTGATTGCTGGGACAGTCAGAGGGGCCTCCCTCGGACAGGAAGAAGAGGGTCCTTCAGCAACCCAGGCCCCAAGCCACGTAGGGCTTCAAAAGTCAAAACCTGCACCCTGAATTAGGTTTGGGAGTGGATCGGTAGCCAGTGCGATTGCTGTAGTATTGGGGTCACATGCTCCTAATAGCTGGCCCCAACTAGTAGTTTGGCTGCAGCAGTCTGTACTCACTGCAGCCTCCGAAAACTCTTCAAGGGTAGCCCCAAGTAGATGACTCTGACAAGCAAGCCAAACCACATGCTTGAGAGAAGGGGGGGGGGACAAAAAAACTGACCAGTTTCACTGGTCATGCTATTCAAACCCAACCCCCCCCCCCAAGAGCGGCAAATCAGCTCAGCCCAAAGAGTCAGCCAAACTCACCCAACGACTTTCCCCACAGGAACTGAGAAATTAGTCCCTTACCACCACCACTGAAGACCTTTGGTAGCAGAGTTATTTGTCCTAATGGGGCTAATGTGACACGTGGGACGAGTTTTAATAGCTGCAAGAACCTTTAATTACAGTTCTCCAACCGGTCTTTTAGCCGTAGCTGCAGGTGAGGCCACAAACCATGCCAGGCGGCTGCAGGTGTGGCCCCGGCGAACTCACATTCCATTCAAGTCAACGGCACAAACCTAACGTGCCACCGAATAACCGATTTGGGCCTGCCTCGTGCATGCAAAGGTATGAGGTGCTGAATGATGCAGGAATGGCCCGAGGCGGCAGGATGGAGGATCATGAATGCTCACGCACACTGGAATGCTCCCCTATGGTAAAAACTCCCTACAAAAAGAAACCTGCAGTGCAAAAGTGCTGAGGAAGTGTCATGCCTTTCTCCCTGCCACGCTGGCTTTCCATCTGCAAGGATTTCCATTCCCTAAGTCCCTGTGCATCACCAGGCAGCCATCTGCTGGCTATCCCACCACTTGGGCTTGTCTGGCATTGGCCAAGGCCCGAGGCCTTTTCTATTGCGGCTCCTGCTCTTTGGAGATCCTTGGAGATCTTCGGAAGGCACTGCAAGGCCCGCCTGTTTACCAGGACTTTTCAAGAGGGTATGAACTGGCGGGCATCTTGCCCTGACATGAATAACCCAGACTCGTCTTGGTCCGCATGTGGATGGGAGACCACCAAGGACCTCCAGGTTCGCTGCTCCAAGGAAGGCGACAGCAAACCACCTCTGAATGTCTCTTGCCTTGGAAGCCCTGTGGGTCGCCATAGGCTGACTGCAACTCGATGGCAAAGTAAAAAACAAACAAACCGGTTTTAAACTCAAAATGTCAAAAGGAAGGTCTTCAGTTCTAACCCTGACATCTGAGGCCAGAGCAGAAGACCATAACTAGGTATAGTGACAGAGAGCTAGGGCAGAGGCCATTTGCCTCCCCCCAGTTTCAGTGAGCGCAGAAGAATAGATTCTTTTGAACTATGGTGCTGGAGAAGACACTTGGGAGTCCCTTGGACTGCAAGGAGATCCAATCAGTCAATCCTAAAAGAAACCAACCCTGACTGTTCCCTGGAAGGCCAGATAATGAAACTGAAGCTCAAATACTGTGGCCACCCAATGAGAAGGGAGCACTCCCTGGAGAAGACCCTGATGCTGGGAAAGACTGAAGGTCAAAGAAGATGGGGCCGGCAAAGGATGAGATGGTTAGACAGTGTCATCGATGCAATGAACATGAAATTGAGCCAACTTCAGAGGATGGCGGAAGACAGGAAGGCCTGGTGTGATCTGGTCCATGGGGTCGCAAAGAGTCGGACTCGACTGTGCGACTGAACAACAACAACAAGTTCCAGCGACATGGTAGTGAGGATCTGTTGCTTTGTAATTCAAAGAGCTTTCCCCTAAATGTAAGGGACATCAGTTGTAACTAATGGGCCAGGAAGATTTTCTCCCACAGAAAAAGCTGGTACCATAAGAAGCAGGCTTGGTAGCTGGGAATCACAGATGTCATAGCATCAGAGGTTCCTACCAAAGTTATTAAGTTTCCTGCAGTGGGGGGCAGAGTGGGATGCGTGCTGTGTTTTGCCCAGAGCAGTTTCAACAATGTCACATTGCAGTGTTTTATACTGATTGAGTAAGCCACCCTGAGCCGGCTCTGCTGGAAGGGCGGGGTAAAAAACCAATAAATAAATAAATAAATAACTTATCATTGTTAAGTCTCCTTGAATCACAAGGAAAGGCAGGAGATTCAAGTTCAAGTTAGCCTTTATTGGCATAAAATAGCAGTACAAGTTATACAATTTCAGGAAACAGTTAAAACACCTACAAAAATCTATGACTCGATATTGTGCAATTAGGAGCTGATAAGGATGTTCTATCTCTAGGAACCTTTGGCGCAGCTTTAAAGCCAAACAGAGAAACGTAGCCACCTTCTCAGTGGTGTCGGGACCGAGATCTTTTAAAAGTCTGTGGACCTTGAGTGCATCAGAGCAATCCGCCATACTGGTTAGAAAGTCAGGAGATATAAATAAATAATTGTCTATGGACGTAAGAGAGAAGCCGTGTTAGATCAGGCCAGTGGCCCACCCAGTCCAATCCTCCGTGTCACAGAGTGGCCAAAATCCAGGTACCGTCAGGACATCCACCAGTGGGGCCATTCAGAGCTGGAACCCACCAGCTGAAGTGATCTATTCTACTGCTTGATGCCTCCGCCCTCTCATGACCGCACTCTCTTGCACGTGAGAATGAGGCCTAAGAAGGCATCATTACCCACCCCGAGACTTTCGGTCAGGTCAGGCTACAAATCAAGCACGCTACTGTGCATCCTATCAACGATGGCTAAAACAGATGCACTGACGAG